CCCTTTGCACACCTCCCGGCACGCTTCGCTCTGTTTTTATATCAGGTTCTGCTCGGCCTGCGGAAACACGAGGCGAACGTGTCGCGAGAGAGGCGGCAAGAGCAGGGCGAGGCGGCGGATGCCGCCGCCGCGAGAGCGATGACGCGGCTTCTGAACAGCGGGTGGCACCGGCGTCGGGGGGTGGCACCGGACAGAGACGTGAGAACGGCACAGGCCGCAGCGATTAGGCGCCCCGAGTGCGCGGCGAGCCCCGGCGACCTGGCGGGGGCGGCGCAACTGCTGGGAGATCTCGGGGAGGCGGCCACGGCGGCGGTGACCGGGGCGGGGGGTGCCGCAGGCACGGATGGCGTGGTGGTACCTTCGCAGGTGAGGTGTTTGCTGTCGGGGTACGAGTGCTTGCCGCGGTACATAGCACCGGCGGCGGCAGCCGAAACTTGGTGGCGGGGGGGCGGGGGCGGGACGTGGTCAGGTAGATGAGAAGGGGGGCAGAGATGGAGATTGTCCTGCTCAAGGCTATGAAGGCCCTTGCGGCTGCCGCGTTGAGGGCTTGTCCTGGTATTCGAGAACGAAAGAAGTAAGAGCGTTCGCGGGGGGGGCGGGCGTGACAGGGGACGTGCTGTTTCGTAACCTTATATCGATACTGTGGTTGCTGATACCTGATGTGCCCTTCACTTGGAGTGTTGTGGAGAAATTCTTGGAGTCAGTGCGCTACAAAAGTCCGGAGCGGGTCGGAGAGCGGGGGCAAGGTCAAGGGTAAAGCTAATAATATCGTGCAAAGTTAATGTGGTGTCGTTCGGCAGGGAGGCATTTCCCAGTGCAATCCTGACACGTCATGTACACTGCCGTATTTTCCCGCGGGGTGATTTTTCGTGTTGGTAAGGGACGTGTCTGGGAGAATGAAAATACCATATTCCAAGCACGCCGTTGCGCCCCCCGATCAACCGACCGCAACACCGCCGCTCTGCTGCCACAGGTGCGGGATCGCGGCCCCGACGAGGATGGCAGTCACAACGGTCGAGGCCGCGGACACGACGGCGACGATGGCGCGGATGGTGATGAACGACCGTGGCAGCAGCGAGAAGAAGCGCTAATGATCGCGAGGGACGTGGAGGCTCGGCTAGGCGCGATGGCGGTGCACGCCATGAGCCGCTTCGGGGAGGGCGCTGCGCCCGTGCTCGACGAGTGGAAGAGGCGCTTTCCTGACCGGCCCCTGCTCTTCGTGCTCCGAGGGGGTGGGCGGTAGGGGTTGTTGTTTTGGGTCTCTTCCTCTTTGGCTCCTCGCTTGGTTGGGGACGGCTGTGGTGGTGGAGTTGATGGTGGTTGCGCTGTGCGTTTGTGCTGGTCCTGGTGGTACTGCTGGCGTTGTTGCCATCTGGACACTGGCAAACAGAGAGCGAGATCGGCAGCGAGAGATATAAGATAGATATACATCGAGAGAGAGAGAGCGAGAGAGAGAGACATACGCATAGACGCAGAGAGTAGTCTTGTGACCTTTGTAGACGCGTAAGATATAACATTTGGAGTCATGATGGCTTTTCGAGGGTCCTACCTTGGCGGGTGAGTTCAGAATGTACTACGGTCGCCCCGGTGGTCTAGTGGTATTCTCGTCCCGTAGGTTGCGTAAGATATCACACCTTCATTAGATACTACACCCCCTCAGAAAACGTACACAATACCACACCCGTGTGCTATTTTTTCAATCCCGAACGAAGCGTCATTTTACCACATGGTGACATAAGATACCACACTCCTGAAGTTGGGCCACATTCTAGTGGTATTCTCGTCCCGTAGGTTGCGTAAGATATCACACCTTCATTAGATACTACACCCCCTCAGAAAACGTACACAATACCACACCCGTGTGCTATTTTTTCAATCCCGAACGAAGCGTCATTTTACCACATGGTGACATAAGATACCACACTCCTGAAGTTGGGCCACATTTTATCGACGGAGCCCCCGCTTACCGACAATGACACAAGATAACATACCCCCTGGACCGATTTTTCAAATCTCGATTTCTCAACAACAGAAAGAGTCACGGCGCCGAAAACGGCGGCGTTGAAACCATCTGGTTGAGAGCTTTCCAAAAATGTATCGTTTCGTTTATGCATCCTCTTCGTCGTGGAGTAATCAAGCTTTGAAAATTGGTCCCGGGGGTGTGTTATCTTGTGTCACATACGGTATGACACGGTGTGAAAACGTGAGGGCATGACATCACAAGTAACAACCTACTCGCAAAGGCCATGGAGGCCAACAATGCCGTGGAGGGTGGTGCAGTTAGCAACCTTGCTGAAAGCCCTGCGGCTCAGACTGCAGTGGGTAAGACTCCAGCGGCGGCTCCACGCTCCATAGCGTCCTTCGTTGAACCCGCCCCGGGGGAACGTGGGGCTGCTGGGACGAATCCCTCAGCAGCCGCGCATGACACCGCACGTACTGCTGAGGCCCGCCAACAGAATCTACCGCTGCTGAGACGGACACAGCACCGGCTGCGCGTGCCACCGCGGGTGCCGCTGAAACCCGCGAAGCAGGACCTACTGTTGAGAGTCTCACAGCACCCACACCCGCACCCGAAAAGGCAGCTCTCTCGCCCATCACCAACACCCTGAGCGCGGCTACTGCTGAGAACCCTGCAGAAGCACGGCGCTGCGGAGAACCATCGTGCACCAACAAGCCCTTGTGGGCAGAGGCAGGGAAGGATATGCCGGAGTTTTGCGGCAGGCATGCGAAGTCTGGCGATGTCTACATCAAAATAAAGTGTGCGCAGAGCGTCTTGCAGTTTGCAGCACATGGATGTTTGTGAGGATTCTCATGGCTCAAGCAAACCAAATAATAACAGGACACGCCTGATTGCCTGATGATCGATTACCAGATGGAAAAAAAAATGTGATTTTCACGTCGTGTCGTCGCGCTCGCCTTATTACTGTATTTTGACATAGTACACATTATGTTGCTTGTAATAGTTCAAATATATTATTGTGTGCAGGCGTAATGTTTACTTGCTCTTCTCTTTCACACACACGACACGTTTCCGCATACCGTTTTTTTTGTGTTTGTGATGTTTTTGGCGGGAAGACTGCGAAACCCGTACCCAACACGTGCAAATAGAAACATAACCTCGACAACATTTCGTGCCTGTTTGTGTGAGATGCGAAATAGGTGGCGTCAGCTGCTCACCCTCTGTACCTTGCAAGCGTGGACGCCATGACTCTCAACCTTGTGGGCGTTGTAAGAGCTATCCGCTAGCCATCGTCTTTTTGGTACGTTTGTCTGATGGTCGTTGGAGCGAGCGCATTGTTACAGACACTGCACTTAACGACACGTATGCTACATGTTTCGTTGCTTCCTCGAACTCATGCGCTTTTCAGGAACGTGCAGCTGCCTGAAGCACCGACGACAGCAGCCGCAGCGGCGCCCGTCGGCGACACCATGTTTCCTGGAGAGTCAGAGGAGTGGATAGACGGTTTCGGTGAGCGTCTCGACGGCACGCCGGCTGAGGGCAAGGTCAAGGGCAAAAAGCAAAGAGAGCCACTGGAATTGGAGCCACCGAACTTCCCCATGAAGTTTGGTGGTAGCCAGAAACGCAAGCGGTACGATTTGGAATTCAAAGTAACCACCATTAAGTACGCGACCATGCAAAGCCCGGGCGCGCAGGGGCCTAATGGAACCATTGGTGTGTCGTATGCGCAACGAGTGCTTGGGATTCCCGAGAAGATCACACTCTCAGCGTGGATAAAAGACAAAACGAAATACGAGAAGCAGCTGGAAAAGGTAGACCAGCTCGGGGCAACAGGCAAGCAATAAGCCCGGAGCGTAAAGTAGTTAACACGGGGAGGGGTTCGGTCAAACGCGGAGGCTCGAACTTCTCGACTGGATCAACGATGTTCGTTCGGAAGCCATCGCTGCCCGCGTCGCTACAAAGATGATCAAGAACAAGACGACATCGCTTGACTCGCTTTGGTTCGGCCCGAGGCCTGCAGCGAACGACCTGGAGGGCAGTAGAAAGTATCGCAACAAGCAGACTCACTGGTGCAGGAGGTTTCCAAGAAGAACCGGTTGTCATTCCGGGCGGTTCCCAGGCAAGGCAAATAACTCCCGTCCGGGCGGCCTGCGATTGCCATGAAAGCCGTCAAGGAATGGAGGGCGCTTCGTCACGGAGGAATCGACGGTGGGGGAAGACGGGGCACGGGGGGGGCAGCGAGCAGTGCGCCTTCGAAGCCACCTCTGTTGTTCAAGGAGGAGCAGAGCTACAGCATGCATGAAACTGCTGTGTGGATGGAGGCCGCTTGCACGTCGACCGTGGCGGTGAGTACAAATAGTGTTGCTTTGAATCATGTGCCTGTCTTGTCGTTTCTTGGCATTACGTGCAAACAGTAGGCATTGTGATGCCACATTTCTTGCCGTATACCTACTCAGTGTCCAGCCAGTAAGGCTAGACGACGTTGGTGTTGTGCTTATGCCGCGTTAGAATTTTCTTACCATTCGCTTCCATCATCATTGTACTGCAAAACCAATGTGTTGCTTTGTGCGTGAAGAGCTGTCATTCTCATCTACAATTCTCATCTACAATAATGAACTTTTTTCGTCGCCTCTGCTGTCTCTATTGCTTTTTGCTTTTTTATTTTTGTCGTTCGCAGCACACCCGTCAGAAAGAGATGGCCATCAAAACCGGTGGAAAGGAAAAGTTGCGGATCACTGCCGTGCTTGCAGCAAACATGAAGGGCGGCAAACTCCCGCCGCTTGCTCATCTTCAAGGGTAAGCCCACGGCGCCGGGAAAACCTCCCTAAGCAAACAGCGTCGAACGAGAGTTTAAGGTGGGCAAGGACAAAAGGGGGGTAGCATACCCTCAGAGCGTTGTGTATGCCGTGGACGACAAGGCGTGGCACATGCAGCGCGTCTTCAGGGATGTTTGGCTCCCCCAAGTATGGAACCGGCGCCCGGGTCGTGAGGGGGTCCTGGGCAACTACCGTCAGCCGGACACGCTGCTATCGTGGGACGATTACACAGCGCACAAGACGGCCCTGTGCAAGGAAGCGATGGACAAGTCCAACCCAACGCTGTTTTTCGTCCCCGGAGGCCTAACGCCCCAAGATCCAGCGTTGCGATGGACTCATCAACACACTCTTCGAGTCCAACATGTCCAGGCTGTACAACGACCACATGGCCTCCACCGACCCCGTGCGCAACGACCGCGGCTACCTGGAGCCCCCATCGAGGGGATTGCTCGCGCAGTGGGTGAAGAAAGCGTGGGATAAAGTGGACCTTGAGAGCCTTTGTTCGAGCTAGAGGAAGGCTGGCATGATCCTTGCCTTCGATGGGTCTGAAGACGAGGCGTGGGCCAACAAGGAGCTCAACTCCGACGCCCAAGGGAAACCAAATCGTGCAGACGGCGACGCGGCCGCTGCCGGCGTGGAGGAGGCTGGCCCATCGGAGGAGGGGAAGACGATGGCAGACTTGTTGGAGGTGTTGGAAATCGACGACGATGACAGCATGGGAGATGGCGAAGGCATCGATGACCCGGAAATTGAGGTCATGGCAGACTTGCCGGGGGCGGACGTTGCTTGCATAGACTGAGTGTCTTGTCTGGTACCTACCTACCGTAGTTGCATGGTCAAGTCAACCAAAGCTGCGATTCCAGCTAATTGGTCCGGCGTTTCATACGTTTCGGTAGTCGCTTGTCCTCTTTGGATGTTGTTTCTAGCTTTGGTTGATATGCAGCAGGCACTTGCTTGCGTCCTATGTAGTTCCAGCTTGAGTGGTGAACGCAAGCCTTGCAAGTCGTTGCGTCGTCCAGGTACCTGTGTGCCGTCGTTTTGTCGCACACATCACCGGCACAATCGATATGAGGTATCGGTACTACGTGTTCGTTGTGTATGCGAAGAATTTCCAAAGGATACTGNGCAGCAGGCACTTGCTTGCGTCCTATGTAGTTCCAGCTTGAGTGGTGAACGCAAGCCTTGCAAGTCGTTGCGTCGTCCAGGTACCTGTGTGCCGTCGTTTTGTCGCACACATCACCGGCACAATCGATATGAGGTATCGGTACTACGTGTTCGTTGTGTATGCGAAGAATTTCCAAAGGATACTGCGACAATGCACGTGGGAAAGCATGTACGTGATGGAGTGGCGTGAGCCACCCTAGCTATCACACCTGTTTTACACCCCTTCACGCCCTTCGTAGGTGGGTGCCTCCTTTGAGCTACATCACCCGGGTGACATTATTATCACATCCCCGTAGGTAGGGTCCTGTCAGCGCACTGCAACCACACGGGCGACATTATCACAACCCCGGCAGGCCGGGTCCTGCATGCGCGCTTCATCACACGGGTTAACTTATTACACCCGATTGTTATCACGCCCCGACGTCATCACACACCCTTGTTATCACACCCCTTGTAAGCCGGGTCCTGTGAGCGCGCTTCATCGCATGGGCGACGGTATCACACCCCATTGTTATCACACCCCCTGTTGGTGGGCCTCGGTGAATGCACTTTATCACACGGGTGACACAAGCTATTTACACCCCCTGCAGATTACCACACCCGTGTGATTACTATTGTCCCCCCGAAAATGTTACCACACGGGTGTGGTATC